TTAACTATGACAGCAGAGTCCCCTGCAAAGCTGTTAGGCATGTATCTCGGGTGGCAGACTGCTTGCCTTCTATAAACAAAGCAGGATACCCCCGCCACCTCATTAAACTGGGGTCTACAGCACACATGTGTATGACCCCAGTTCTCGGGACTACAGCACACATGTGTATGACCCCAGCTCTCAGGAAAGGTGGAGTCAAGAAAACCACATGCTCAGGGTTTTCTTCAACTGTGTTGCAAATCTGAGACCAGCCTGTGCTATATGAGACCCTGACAAAAACAAAACAAAAAACAACAACAAAATAAAACTTAGTTTCAAACTCCCTACACTGGTGCCCTAGAATAACACATGGCAAATATCTCAGATCTTGTCCCTGAATGCATGACTATGTCTGAGTTCCTCACGCTGCTTCCTCTTCAGCCGCCTCAGAAGTTAGAGGTCAGTCCTGGACAAACAAACTGAAGCAGAAGTTTATTGTAGCATGATTAATAAAAACCCAGAGACAGAAATTGGGATTCAACCTGAAGGTCAGAAAAGCAAAACAACCAGCCACCTACTCTCACCTCTGCCTCAGTCTGAAATGGTGATCCTGCCTCCAGGAGTCTCAGAATGAGACTGTGTCTGAGAGCTGTCTCCACCCATTTTATGTTTCTCTTTAGGGCTGGGATTAAAGGTGTGCACCACTACCACCTGGTTTCTATGGAAAACTAGTGGGGTTACTGGGATTTAAGGTGTGTGCCACCACTGCCTGGTCTGTAAGGCTGACCAGTGTGGCTGTTTTACTCTCTGAACTTCAGGCAAGCTTTATTAAAATACAAACAAAATATAGCAACATCCAATCTTCAGACAGCCCAGGGCAATCAGGGAAAAGCGCCTGTGCAGACAGGCCAGGCAACAGCACATGACCGAGCGCATCTTAAGGCACTCGGAAACCTTTCTGTTGCAGGGAGACAGGGGAGGGCAAGGTGTCTGCTGTCTAAGTTGGTGGGCACGGGAATGGAGCATTACCTGATAAGGCACTTTGGGGTCAGGACCTGGCACTCAGTTTTGGTGACCACAAGTGTGACCAGGCTGGCTTTCTAAAGGTGGGATGGCCAAGTTCTGAGAAGATAAACTCTGTGGTCACACTCAACAGCAGCAGCAAAGATGTTCCCAAGGGTCGGAGATGCAAGTCAGAGTTCAGTCTGCCTGTCCCAGGGAAATAAATACAAAAATTCTCTGCACAACAAGCAGAATGGTTCTTTCCCCTTTTCTTTTTCCTTTGTTTTGTTTGGAGATTCTAATTATATAATTCAGACTGACCTGAATCTCGCTGTCCAACCTATGCTAGCCTCAAACTGAAAATCTTTCTGTCTCAAACTGGGAGTGCTGGCACATACATAGGCAGAGGCAGGAGGATCTCTGTGAGTTTGAAGCCAGTCTTCTCTACATAGCAAGTCCTAGGACGGTCAGAGCCACATTAGAGAGACCCTGTTTCGAAACACAAAAGACGGAGAGAGTGGGGGAGAGAGGGAAGAGGGAGAGAAGGGAGGGGGGAAGAAACAGAGGGGAGAGGAAGAGTGGGGGAGGGATGGAGGGAGGGAAGAAATTTTGCTACCGCAGGCCCCTCAGTGCTGGGAGTACATGCACACACTGCCACACCAATCTTGAATAATCAATGATCAAATAAACTTACTGACTCTTGGTGACATATTTTGCAGCAGTCAGAAGACAACCTGCAGGAGTTAATTATCTCCCAGGTCATGCAGGCTCTCAGATCACACTTGGTTCATCAAGCTTGGCAGCCAGTGCCCTCACCCGCTGAGCTATCTCACTGGCCTGGAAGTCGGAGTCCTCAGACATGTTATAACCCAGAGTTTCCCAGCTTGCAGATGGTACCTATTAGTGGTTTTCAAAACCCGCCCCGAGAGTCACGACTAGCATTTAGAAAACAACTAACTGGAACTGAGCAGAAAAATACCTGAGTACATTTAGTAGGGGTATTGTCTGATGTTCTTTCTACGTGCTTACATGTGCCTGCACGAACGCATTCCAGCTCGCACACACTGTGTGGTTATGTGAAGTGTTGGCTGTGCGTTGTGGTCAAAGGCTTGAGCACCATGATCTCGCCTAATTGGCGGTCTTCCCTGCAGCCCAACGTTTCTCTCCGACTCTCTGCCCATAGGATGCGGTACTTCCTGCTCCCTCGACAGAGAATGACTTTGTTCTCCCTGCCCACCTGGAGGCTCGCCCCTTAATGACACATCTGAGCCAATCTAGACGTCTGCACGTCCTGCTCCTCTCCCTCCTGATTAACTGCAGCATTGTGCCCCTGAAAGGAGTGTGGTTTAGTGGTTGTGTGTCAAGCTGACAAGGGCAGGATGCCCCAGGTACCTTTCACTCTGAACTAAAAGAGTCTGTTTCCAAAGAGTAAGAATTGTGTTGTTGCCAGGATCTCACACGATGCCTCCAGCTCACAATAAATAATCTATAAATAAGGTCACAGTGGGAATTTTATATAACGAGATAGGAACGGTATCCATACACAGAGAAAAGGCAAAGTGAGGCACATACATGTAGAACATGCTCCCATTGTGTGTTCATTAGTGAGAGTGCATGTATGCATTGCATCACAAAGAGCATCTCTGAACAGTACAAAGGAACTTGGCGTGGTGGTACCCACTACGCCTGACCTGGTAGGAAGAAACAGGGGGGATCAGAGTTCAAGGTCATCCCTGGCAACTACGTACCAATCAGTCGTGAGACCAGCTTGAACTACATCAAGGGGGAGAAACAAATGAAATTTGTTAACGATTGTGGTCACCTGTAACCAGGGGAAAAAAAAAAAAGACTAGTGTTTCACTGGGACTTCTTGATTTCTGTGCCGTATGCAAGGGCTGTATCGCACTGAAATTAATTAAATTAATTAATATTGCTCTGAAATATTTTACAGGGAATGTATATTTTAAGAAGACAAGATTTATGGCTTCCAAATATCCCATAATATAAAAGTAAATACGCAGTTACTTTTATTGACTGGTTAAAAAATGGAGAGAACCTTTATTGTCTATAATGCTTAAATCTATCCTTTCCCTGATTTGACAGCATCTCGGGTGTGCTGGTATTTCTAATTCCAGCCCTTGGGAACCTGAAGATGAAGGATTTCCATAACTTTGAGGCCAACCTATGTTACACAGTGAGACCTTGTCTCAAAAAACAAACAGGTGGGCAGTGGAGGCACCAGTCTTTAATAGCAGCACTCCGAGAGGCAGAGAAGCAGGGATCTCCAGGTTCAAGGCCAGCCTGGCCTACATAGTAAGTTCCAGGGCAGGCAGGGATACACAGAGAAACCGTGTCTCTAAAACTTAAAAGAATAGTAATAAAATAAAAATAAAACAAGACACCAAGAACAAAACAAAAACAAACACAAAACAAATCAACCAACCAAACAACACCCACATAAGAGGGGGCTAGAGAGATGGCATGGTGATTAGGAGCATGTACTCCTTTTCAGAGCTCAGTTCTTAGCACCCCACCCAGTGGCTCACAACTGCAGTAGCTCCACCTCCAGGAGCCCCACCTCCGGCCTCTGTGGGCACTGCTTTCACAAGCAGACACAACCCCCACACAACTAAAAAGAACAAAAATAACGGGCTGGGGAGTTGGCTCGGCGATTAACAGCATTTGTTCTTGCAGAGGACCTCAGTTCCATTCCCAGCACCCGCGTGGCGGCTCACGGCCATCCCTAACTCCAGTTATGGGAGATCTGAAGCCCTCACCTGACCTTGCAGTCGTCAGACAGACACGTGAATAAAGCATTCATCCACATAAAGTATATAAACCTTTAAAAAACAATAATAACATCAAAACTAATTTTTATAAAATCGAGCGAACAGAGAGTATGGCCTCTGAGCCAGGCTTGGCGGTGCGGGCCTGTCACCTTCGCTAGCGTGGAGGCAACAGGAGAATCTTGAGATCAAGGCCTACGCTGATGGGCGAGTTTAAGGGCAGCTTAAGCAACGTTGCAAGATCTTGTCTCAAAATTTAAACACTATGAAAAAAAAAACAAAACAAACAAAACAACACAAAAAAAAGGTGAAGACAAAGTTCAGCACAGCATTCTTGCCTAGAGCACCAGAGGCCCCATGTCTATTTTTAAAAGTCGCATCTTTCTCTTACTAAGATCAATCCAGGTAAAAGAAGGGTGTGAGGGGGGAGAAACTTCATTTTCTAAATAAGCACCCCATCATAAAGTACACCCCAGGTCCTCATGCAAGCCTGGCTGACCACTAAGTCCGCTTAGTCCAAGGCCAGGGTAACAAAGAACCATGTAGGTTAATTTTGCAACTGCTTGCAACAGGATGCTTCTGCCAGTCCTCTGGCTGGGCACTGCGAACTCCTCGCCTCATCAGAACTGCCTTTTATTAAGCCTAATATTCAGAGGGAAAAGAACTGCTGATTATGGGCCTGAGTTCCCATGGCAACAGTAAAACAGATGCCAAAGTAGCTGTAGCACCGAGGAAAATAATACACTAATAATAGGTAGTCCTGTGGATCCTTTTAATGAGACAGCTCACTGAGAGCCAGCTGTGTCTGCATGTTAGGACAAGGATGACTGTGGAGATCTTCAGACTTTCAAAGCCCAGATAATCCGTCTTTGTTAGTCACAGAATGACTCTGGGTCAAACCACTCTTATGGCTAATGTAGATATATCGTCCTGCTTTAAGGACTGACCACCCTCCTGCCCCCTCTAGTGCTCACGGGGACCTGGAGGGTGAGCTGTCTCCAGCATCGCACATCCACTGCCACAGGCGCGAGCCACACGTGAACGCACAGGGGACAGCCCCCTTCTGCTGTGCTCCCGTCTCTCTGCTGGGAGTGGATTAGTAATTCCCGATAGGGAGCCTTGAGGTGAGCCCTTCTTGTTCGCTTTCTGAACACAGACTCCTCAGTGTGCAGGGACTTCCATCCCAAACACCACAGAGACGTGTGGCTGAAATGACAGAAACAGTTTCCTTACTGTGACAGAGCCTGGAAGTCCAGGTCCGCGGTGTCCGTGGGGGTGGTTTCTTCTCAAGGGTCTGTCCTCAGCTTTCAGACAGCCATCCTCTCCCTCTGCTGTGTTTGTCTACCAGAAGGCTCCTGAAGCTTCAGACCATCACAGCGAACCCGGGGTGCCGTGCCCGGAGCTTAACTTGATGTGACGCCAAAGGACACACAACTCTCACCATCTAGGGACAAAGACATCCAAAGGCGGTTAGCAAAGCAGTCTGGACACCAGAGGAAAGACAGGGACCACTGCCGCTGATGGTTAACTTGGCAGCAGGGATGACAGGGCCTTTAGAACAGGGAAGAGGGGGGAGTTCCTGAAAGCACAAAGACTGAGCGGGCCTCCGTCCTATTTAAAACACGCTCCTGCGGTGGTTTGCATAAGAATGGCCCCTGCCGGGCAGTGGTAGCACACACTTTAAATCCCAGCATTCCGGCAGGGGCAGAGGCAAGTGGACCTCTGTGAGTTCAAGGCCAGCCTAGTCTACAGAGCGGATTCCAGGACAGGCTCCAAAGCTACACAGAGAAACCCTGTCTCAAAAAACTAAAAACAAAACACAACAACAACAACAAAAAGAATGCTTCCTCCCCTCCTCCCTCCCCCATATATTTGAATAGTCTCCAGGGAGTGGCACTATTTGAGAAGGGTTAGAAAGTAAGGCCTTGCTGGAGGAGATAAGTCACTGGGCTGAGCTTACCAGCCCCAGTCTGGGTCCCCTCCCCCGACCTGCAGATCAGGATGTAAAGCTCTCAGCTAGTGTTCCAGAGCCACACGCCCTGCCGTGATAAAGCACTAACCCTTTGAAACTGTGAGCAAGGCCCGGTTAAAGCTTTCTTTCACAGGAGTTGCCTTGATGGTGGTGTCTCTTCACGGCAGTAGAACACTGACTGAAAGACTTCTCCAGTGCTTTTAGAATAAAGTCTGACTTTTTTTTTCAGATTTTATTTTATTTTTAATTGAGGTGACAAATGTGTAGCCTTAAATTTACCATCTTAACACAAAGGAAAAAAAATTTGAGACAGGGTCTTAGAATTCACTCTGTAGACCAGGCTGGCCTTGAACTCAGAGATCTGTCTGCCTCTGCCTCCCCAGTGCTGGGAGTAAAGTTATATGCCACCATACTCAAACTTTTAAAAAAGGGTTTTATTACTATTTATTATTATTATTATTATGCATGTAGGGACAGTGACATTACAATATATATATGGAACTCAGAGGACCATTTAAAGGAGTATGCTCTCTTCTCTCACTGTGTGGTACCCAAGGATGGACTTCATGGTGTTAGGTTTGGCAGCACTTTTACCTGCTGAGCCATCTCACTAGCTTCCCTTTTAATTGTGTGTGTGTGTGCATGAATGTGTGTGTGTGCATGAATGTGTGTGTGTGCATGAATGTGTGTGTGTGTGTGCATATGTGTTTGCTAGCCTGTGGTGAGGAGTGAATCTAAGACTTCATATGTCTTAGGCACATGCTCTATTACCAGCTTACATTCCCAGCTTGATCTTAACCATGGGGCAAGATGTTACATATTTATGTCTCTATTTGTATATGGGAATGCTTTTCAAGGCCAGAGGAAGGTTGTCTCCTACCACATGGGTCCAGGAGGTCCTGCTCAGGCCACAACACCAGGTGGCCAACACCCTTTGCCTACTGAGCTGTCTAGATGGCCTACACACTACACTCTCAAGCTGGCCTCAAACTGGGGCTCCTCCTGCCTCTCTCCTGAATGCTGGGGTTCAGGTATGTGCCACCACACCTGAGAGAATCCTTTTTAGGGCTGCATAAATTTTGGATTTTAGCATTGTGCATGTCCTTACCTTAGCACAGGCCTGAATTAAACCCTAGCAACACATATGTGCGGATGTGGGTGAGTTGGTCGATGGTCACCTAGAGTTTGTGAAGGCCTGTGTTCAATTCTCAGCCCTGCATACATGGTAAATGCCTGTAACCTCAATATGGAAGGAAGGAAAAGCAAGAATTCAAGGCCATCATCAGCTACATACAGAGTTCAAGAACAGCCTGGGGTGCATTAGCTACTGTCAGAGAATGGTCCTTGGCTTTTTCCTTCCCAGCATTACTCAAGTCTGAGGAGCCACTGGTAGCTGGCTCGTAGGACAACGGCATACAGTGGTAACAGAAAGTAGCTGTGGTTTCTTCCCCACCTAATCGTGTACTGAGTATGTGGGCTGGCTACTTTATGTCGATTTGACACAAATCAGTCGCTTGGGGAAGGGAACCTCAGCTGAGAAAATGCCCCCACCAACAGGTCTGTGGGCAAGCCTGTGGTCATTTTCCTGACTGATGAACGATGTGGAAGGGCCCAGCTCACTGTGGGTGTTGGGCCTGAGCTGGTGGGCCTGGGTGCTGAAGAAGGCAGGTTGAGCAAGCCATGAGGAGTGTAAGTGGCCTTCTTCCCTGGCTCCTGTACCAGCTCAAATCTCAACACTTCTGCCCTGACCCCCTGCAGTGATGGACTGCGTTGTGGAGCTGGGAGCTGAATGGAACCCTCTCTTCCTCGGGTTGCCCATGGTCAGAGCAACAGACCCCTCACTGAGACAGGAAGGAAAGGCGAGCTGGCACCAGGCCAGGAAACGCCTGGTCTAAGCAGCTGTTTGCAGACTGCACACTTAGCACAGTCACAACCAAGTCTCCCCTGAACATTGAAAAAACACTAACTAAAAGACTAGAGCTGGCCGGGTGGTGGCAGTGGGGCGGTGGTGGTGCACGTCTTTAATCCCAGCACTCGGGGAATCAGAGGCAGGCGGAGTTCCGGGACAGCTAGGGCTACACAGAGAAACCCTGTCTCAAAAGACAAACAAACAAACAAAAAAGTACAACTGGTAAAACCTAAGCCAAGACAACCGAAGCGTGCTGAGAGTGAGAGAAATAGTCTCCCAGGGGCAAGGCCACCAGTCAGCTATCCAGAACTAAACAATAACATACAGATAACACCATACAGACTGAGCAGGCTATATTTAAATGTATGTGTGTGTACATATATGTAGGCAATAACAACTGGTGAAAAACAGAGGCCATGGATTTGAAAGCAAGCAAGGAGGTGTATATGGGGAGTTTAGTGGAAGAAAAGGGAAGGGAGAAATTATTATAATTTCAACCATTAAAAAAATTAAGCCAAGGGGCTGGAGAGATGGCTCAGTGGTTAAGAGCATTGCCTGCTCTTCCAAAGGTCCTGAGTTCAATTCCCGGCATCCACATGGTGGCTCACAACCATCTGTATTGAAGTCTGGTGCCCTCTTCTGGCCTGCAGGCATATCGTAGAAAGAATATTGCATATGTAATAAATAAATAAATATAAAAAAAATTAAGCCAAGTGAAGAAGTAACACAAGCTACATAAATCCTAATGCAGTCTCATAAGGAGCTCACACAAAGCAATGACAATATAAATTATTGCCAGGAGGTGGTGGCGCACACCTTTAACCCCAGCACTCAGGAGGCAGAGGCAGGCGGATCTCTGGGAGTTCGAGGCCAGCCTGGTCTACAAGAGCTAGTTCCAGGACAGGCTCCAAAGCTACAGAGAAACCCTGTCTAAAAAAAAAAAAAACCAGGACACTAAACCGCAAGGACACAAGACCGGAGAGGAACTCCCCCATGTGTCACGTAATTAAAACACTACAGAAACAAAACAAAGTGTCCTGAAAGCAGTAGGAGGGAAACAGAGTAGGAGGCAGGTTCATTAGGGTGTAACAGATGACTCCAGTGAACCCCGTAAGCCAGAGGGCTTGGAATGATGTATGTCAAGTTCTGAAAGATAGCAACTGCCAGCCCAGAATAGTAATCCAAGCAAAGCTATCTGTCATAATTAAAGGAAAACTAAGCGTTCTCCATGATAAAAATAGATGAGAGGAATTTATAGCCATAAAGATAGCTCTGCGGGAGATAGAAGGGACTCTACAGACTGATGAGAAAAACAAATCACTTACAAAGCAGGCCAGAGGGAAGACAAAGCCATGCTACAGCCATGTCAGCCAAGGAGGGGCCTCAAAACCAACAGGGGGCAAGAGTCAACACACAACTTTCTTTACCTGAGAATTTATTTCATTTTTTTTTTGTCTGCTTTTTGTTTTGTTTTGTTTTCGAGATAGGGTTTCTCTGTGTAACAGTCTTGGCTATTCTGGAACTAGTTCTGTAGACCAGGCTGGCCTCGAATTAACAGAGATTTGCCTGCTTCTGCCCCCCAAGTGCTGGGATTAAAGTGTGAGCCACCACTGCACGACAACTTTCAATAATAATTCTGAACACCAATTGTCAGTTTCAAACACCTATGCCATCCCCAGTCCGCTCTCTCTGCCTCCAGCCTGTGGATCAGATATAAGCTCTCAACTGCTGCTCCAGCACCACGCCTGCCTGTGTGCCAACACACTCCCTGCCATGGTGATCATGAACTAACCCCTGAAACTGAAGCAAGCTCCCAATTAAATGCTCTCCTTTATAATCAGCCTTAGTCATGGTGTTTCATCACAGCAATAGAAAACAGTAACTAAGGCACAGGTCATCCTGACCGAAAATGGAGAGATATCTGAATGAAATGACACCAGAGATCAAATGGATTGGACGTCTACAGTACATCCTATTCAAACACTGCAGAATACATGTTTCCCAGAGCACAAAGCATCCCACGGAACTTTTTCTAAAATAGATCATATTTTAGGTCACAAAGTAACTCTTAAGAAATATAGGAAACCTGAAATAATTCCTTGTAGTCTATCTGATAACATGGAATAAGACTGTAGATCTGCAAGAGAAGCCCTAGAACATAAGACAAACGTGGAGATTAAACAACACACTATTGAACAACTAATGATTCTTTGAAAAAAAATCAAGAAGGAAATAAAGACATTCCTAGAAACAAATGAAAATAAAACATATAAAAACTCATGGGACTCAGTGAAAGCAGTCATGAGGGAAATTAATAGCTCTAAGTGCCTAAAAATTAGAGAGATCTCAAATGAATAATGATATACCTTACAACTGTAAAAAATAACTAAGAAACAAAATAGAGAGAAAAAAAGGACAGGAAGAAAGAAGAGGGGTTGGAGAAATTGCTCAGTGGTTAAGCACATTTGCTGCTCTTGCAGAGGACCTGGGTTCAGTTCCCAGCACCCACTTAGTAGTTCACAACCGTCTGTGACTCCATTTCCAGAGACCTGACGCCTTCTTC